AAAAATATTTTGAAAAAAGTAAATACTTTTCGAGATAATTAGTGTATCCACTTAAAAGAATCACCCTGTATGTGTATGAAATATACCCTGGGCACAATTTATATCAACTACTTATCTGAATGATAGGTCTACAGATACAGAGATAATAATTATTTATAACTGTAGTCAGAATTATAATTTATAAAGGAAGTTACTATTTTAATTAAACTGAACAGGTAATGTTATATATTATTTAAAGTCGTTATAAAAATATTTAAACATTTTCAAATCACTAATGCAGACTTTCAAACATTTTAATTGATAACACCTGCACTAGCTAGGGTTGCCGATGCTGTTTATTTAGGTATTAATTTCGTTTCAATACATTGTTGATTGTACAATCACAAATCAAAAATTATAAGCTTATTAAATATAAATTAGTTAAATTTGTRATTTCATAACCAACATTTTATTATGCTAGTTAAAAATGTGCAAGTGATAGAGAAAGAGAAGTTACTTTTTCATAAACAAAATTTTGTTATTTATTTTAACTCACTGTAAAATTTGACTTAATAAGATCAAAAGAAATATTAAATAGAAAAGAATAATTATTATAATAATCTGATTAAAAACTAATATTAGCAAGTTTTTAGTGATAAAAAGATGAATTTTAAATTGTTAGTATAATTATTTGCATTACAATAGTTATAAATGAATATTTTCCTTACTTTTTAACTTTTTTGTAAAATGTTATTAGTATGTTAAATAAACAAATCCATTTGATTGTTCCATATTCTTGGATCTTAAAACATATTCATCATTTTCAAAATAAAAGACAAGAAAAAAATTTAAGTTCAGTAAAGATTAAAGAGAAAAATATATTTACAATATCAATTACTTATAAAACACACAGCATCCAAATACAAATATGTACATGAATTTAAAATTTTAAATTGGTACTTAGTCGCAATGAAAAAATTATTTAAAATTAAAGTATTACAAAAGAGAGATGAAAGTTGATCAAAAATCAAAATCATAAAACAATTAAGAATATTACTAAAAGCAAAAACAAGTCTTAATAATCACTTATGTTTGTACAAAATAATAACTTAAAATMATTTATAATCATTATAATAATAATAAATTAAATAATCAACATAATATCATAGTAGGATAAAATTTCTAATTATACAAAAATAATAATAACAAAAAAATGTATTTACTTTTAAGACTAGTAATCTTAATGCTAATATTTCTGTTTTAGTAATCTAAGGAGGATCTTTTGATGGTATTTTCAAAAACTTTAATGATAACGATGTCTATGAGTATGGCGTTCTTTTTCACGTCTTTGACTCGAATGATATTCCCTGAGATTGAGTAATCTGTCTCTTTTATAGTAATCTTCCAAYGGTCTTGTGTATGTATCTGGTACATGTATGGGAAGCCGAAAAGGTGACAATGGTACATTGTCATAATAACGTTGTACCATTGGTGATCCACTTAAATTATATTGGTATGGTGGATACAAAGGTGGGCGTACATAATATGGATGTGATAACATCCTAGGTGGTTGTTTATGTGGCATCCCAAACCGATAAGCATGAATATATTCTTTACTAGTTGGTCCTTCATCTGGTAAACCAAGCACTCTACGTCGTTGTCGTAATTCGGCTGTACTGATAGAGGGTTGATGATTTTTAGCTTTTTTTAAAATGTACTGAAAATCAATTGATTTGTCTTCTAGAAACATTGAGCACAATTGTAATCCAGTCTTAGCATCAACTTCTTGGCCATCGCGAGCAATTTTGACAGTTTTTCCTTCATTGTATGCGTTAAATAAATGAGAAGTATCATTGAATTCTAACTCTTTTGTAGTAATCCAGTCAACTTTAAATACACCCGATAAATTACGACTTCCAAGTAGTACCCAACCAACCGGTGACAAATCATATCTAGCTGCTTCAGAAATTCTAGCAAACCCTGAAGTATCAGAATAAAAGAATGTTATAAGAAAATGATAATTATCAAACATAAATTAAAACTTTTGTATTTACCTGCAAATTTACCACTTTCTTTAACTGAAAATATCAAAATTACATTCTTACATGTTCTGAAAGCTTGATTTAATTTTGTTTCATTCCATGGTCTTGTAGACCAACAACTTTTAATTTTAGCCAACTCAATATTTTCATAATTATTACTTTTTATGATGAAAAATCGAGCTTCTTTTAACAAGAGTCTTAATTGAGATAGATATTCTTCAGATGGTTTTTTTTTAGTTGGCGTACCTTCCCCTATTTTAATGTATCTTTCAGATTTAATCTTATTTCTTGTCGAAGTTTCATCAATGGAACTAGAGCTGGCTTCACTTCTAGTGTCAAATTCTTCATCTAATTGGTCATCACCTTCAATAATATTGTCGGTTTCATCTGTGATTTCATCAAGCACTTGAAGTTCATCAAATGCTTCAATGGAATCAGCAGTAGATCCATGAACACTAATTGAGTCTTCATCCATTGAAATAACTATAAAAATAATGACTTCTTGAATTAATACAATACTTACAATGTAAGTACACTTATTTTTCAAAATAGCAATGGTTGTTGGATCTTTATGGATAAAAATTTAAATTAAATAACTTAGGCATACCTAGCTAAAATTATTTAAAAAATAATAATATTTATTAATAATAATATGAAATTGTAAGGCACCCAATTTTGACTACATAAAATAAATAATAGATTTAATTGTTTTAAATATAATCTAATCTAGAATTTGGGAAATAATATATTAATATATAATTTTAACTATTGTTAGACAGTTATTTAAGTTTTTCACTTTTTAATTATTTCTACATTTAAATGTCATATATTAGAATTAAAACATTCATTATTCATAGGTGGTAGGTACATTTTAAGAAAATATTGAAATAATGTACCTTGTTGAGATCCATAGTTAATAAATACAGACTCGATCAGATTATTTAATAAACAGAAAATAATACTACGGGTATAAAGTAAAATTATYGATTGACACCAACAGTACACAGACTGTATTCCAAACAAAATCCCATAAGCTCATTGTTGTCTGGCTCGCCATAATGTAGTAGACAGTTGGTGTATTAAGATAAACTTTTTTTTTAACTCTTCACCGAGACCAGAGCAAACAATAAATACATGATGTATAATAATGGTTAATTTATATAATACATCGTCGTAAAATATCAACTAAACACGGATCGAGTTGAATTTAACACATCTTGATAAAAATTGAATTCGGACTACTGGGGGATCCGCGACTAACGACAATGCAAATTACATCGACGATAATTAATTCGAATAGTTTTCGAGACACGACATGTCGAGTAAGATATCGTCGTCACGATGGTTACTATTATTACAGACTACATTATACCACTACTTTATACCACGAAATCGTCCATTTCGCTGTGGACTTACCACGGTCGTTTTAATTATTAATTAATTTAAAAACCACTACACGATAAATGATGGCCGGTCGGTTTTTCGGACGAAATGCGTATAGACGTCGTATAGCGGAATATTGTTTTAAACAAAAAACGCACAAGCAGGTGCTTACAACTATAATTTGATTAATGTAAACAATTTTACAATAGTAAGTACGAGACGCACGCGCCACTACTTTTTCATGCTTGGAATCGTTGGATACAAGTGTTCACGGCTTCACAAGACACAAATAGTAATACACATAATAATATGATTCTCGTGCTGAGTACTGAGTAGTAAAATATATTGTTTTGTTATTATCACAGGCCATGATGAGGGGGTGGTGTGAGGGTGATTTGGATAGTGATTAGAAGAAACGAACCGCGTCACTGGTGTAGGAATTTTCCGAGGAGTGGCTCGTCGACAGTCGTCGCCTGTCGCAGAATTGAAGTGTCGCCGACCGCGGGTGTCTCTGACATGACAGGTAGGTTYATAGGGGTAGAAGCTGCAGATCGTCGTTTACCATCGTTAATGGTAACGATATAAAACATGTGGTATAGACGGTGATGAACGAAAGCACATGAAGGCAATAGGTATGAGAATGGTAACAACCTCGGGTCACTTCAATGTTCCGTGGTGCGGAATCGTGGTGGGTCTCGCAACACACCGCCACCGATTTGTCAAATCATAGGTATATCGGTACTTGTTACTTTGGTATAGTGGTAACGGTAAGGTATCATTGTCGGTATCATATTGTGGTACGAGACGATCAATACAATTGATGTGACCAACGTCTATAATTTACCGATCATGTATCCGCCGGCGGGCGGCACTGCGTCTAACCGCGTTCGGTTTGTTTGCATTTGCCGCTACTAGTGGCGCGGTCCGGTATAGTTTAGTAAATTGTAATTGTGTTCACAATTCACATCACTCATCGCTGTAATTTGTTGTTTGTGTGAGTTGCGGCTGTCTCAAACGTTAGCCGCTTTTCATTTTTGCGTACATTGTTTTTGTGTTTATTATTTCATATTCGTTTATCGTGTCTTTTTGCGTCCTCTGCGTGTCATACAATCAATCGTCGTTGACCCACAGTTATATAAATTTATCAATCAATATAGTCGTCGGGTGTCTACTACCTCAACCGGTGCAACCGATAATTGATTATTATCATCGTTAATTTCTCGTCGCTAAAAGCAATAATCGTGAGTATGATTTATTGTCACAACGCGTTGGGTCCGMTTTCGTTTGCCACAGTTTCCACGTGCTCGTGATTCGCGACGCGAACGTCGTCAAAATTTTGTAACCCCCCTAACGACTGTCACTGTGGTACGTTCACACAATATTGGACTAGGTTCGCCGGCCACCCGTTTGTCATTCAAAACACTGCTATGGCTGTTTATATTGTGGTCAGATTGTTCTACGATTACCGTTTGTTTGTAGATCTGTTCGTTTTTTTTCAAAGTCTTATCCGCTATAGGTTTTTCTTAATACTGTATCTCCGCATCTTCGTCTTCTAATTTATAGTACTAACCGGTACTAATATGCCCATGCGCTGCTCGCGTTTGTTTGTGTGTGTGTCTAACGATAACGTATTTAAATTGTTTGAAGATGAAATTAAGCAAGGCGATATTGTTATTAGTTAGTTACTGAACCGTAATACGTAAATTCAATAAGCCATGCTGGCCGTTGTAAGCCTTTTCTTACAAGTATGGAACGTATTATAGTTTTCGGTACTATTAAAAACTTTTTTCACCAAAACTTAAAAAATTCATGCTTTTCATGCATTTTACCATAAATATAGATATATGCACCAATTATTGATCATTTTTTTGCATATTTTGGATATTTTATTTCATGTAGATCACCATTTAGATTTATATGAGTAGCAAAAACAGATAATGTCTTGAGGAAAAAGTCCACAAAACWTGTAATTCAGAACATTTATAAAACGCCTTAAATACCTATACCTATTACCTACCTATATTGAATATAAATAACCTGTAATGTCTGTATATTGTTTGAGACATATGTTTAGTGTGGGAAAACCGCAAACAAAAAGATAAAGTTACTTATAACCAGATTAAATGTCAACAATTATTGCCTATAATACTGTAGTCAGCATAACAAATAATGACACAAAATTGTACCCAWAATATTTTATTTGTACACCTATTTATCCAATAAAATTTTTAAAGTAAAATATTATGTTTTGGTATACAATAGGTTTAAAATATAAATATAAACAGTTTTTTTTTTTTAGTTTTTTTTTTTTGAACCCACAAAACTAATTATTCTTGAATTTAAATAAACATTTTTATTAC